ACAAAAGAAAGCATGAAAGAAGAAAAGTGCGTGGCAAAATCAAGATAAAAGGGGTAAAAAATTTCTTTTTCCATTCTACATTCTAACAATATTGCACATACATACTTCAACAGCAATCTACAACGTAAAGCTATGGGAAAAGAAGAAAAATATTTTTCTAATTATTCATAAAAATCTCGATGAATTTGTCACGTTTAGGCATTACTGCCATTCAGAATAAAGTTACTTTGTGAAATGTGAAAAATGCTAATGGATGAATGTAAAGACTTGAAAAGCGTGTTAATAAGCTTTAACGTAATCTACATGTGAGAAGGAGGAGAAGGGAAATTGAGCATAGAAAAAAAGTGGAAACTAAAGGGAGAGGCAGTATGTGCAGTGATTAGTCGAGCAAGTTGACAGGAAAGGCAAAATGACTTTTCATTTCTGTCAGGTTATGGTCAATTCCTTTGGGTAATACTTAAAGCGTGCTGTTCCACATTTTTGTACCATTGTTGGTTAATGTCTAATATGTTGCATTTGACAGAGACTAACACAATGACTTAAGAAGGGACATTTCTCTTTTAATGTTATTGTACTAGTTCCTTTTGTAATTTTTGCTTTTAATAGCTCTGCTGAGTATTTAGAGAAGTAAGTGGAAGTTTTGACGCAATTTGTGAATTTCGCTACTGATTTTGAACATTTTTTTAGTGATTTATTGGGAAATGAAGCTCATTGAAGGTTAAAGATATAATTCATTCGATGCTTGCTATACTTTAGATCATGAAAAAAATCATACTTTTCAAGCTTCGTAACTTATTAAGATTGAATATACAAAAAACTTTTTGAAGTGAGAGAATCGCTGACTATGGATTCTGAAAATTCAAATTTTTAAAGTTCGTTAAAACCAAACTAATAAACAAAGAATTTCCTAGATATATCTAGTGATGCCTTGAATGTAAAGCTTATGTAAATTATTTTTTATCACCAGAATTTTGAAAATCCGGTAAGAATTTATGATTTTCACAGCTGCAAAACCATAAAAAAAAAAATTCTTTTTTCAAATATCAATCAATCCAAATTGACTTCCTAACTTCCTCATTCTTCTCATCATTCCTTAAGAAGCAAGAAAATGAAGAATATCCCATAAAAATAAAATTTTCAAGTCATGTACGAAAGTCAAAAAGGAATTTTTCCCACTGTATTTTACAATCAAAAATTTACAGCTCAAGAAAATGCTAAAGTATCACGAAAAAAATTGCTTTTTTCAGAGCAAGAAGGCAAGCAGGCGAGCAATGAGTAAAAAGGCAGAAAAAAGGGAAGCTACGAGTCGAAAGAATAATTAGCTTTGCATTTTATGACTGGTAGATGTAGAAAAGAAAAAAAAAGGGAAACAGAAACAGCCGTAAAAGTTGATATCACTTCATGTAACTAAATTTTATTGTCGACACAATAAAATTCAAATTTATTGCGATATCTCGAGAATCTTCCACTTCATCTTTTCATTGTCAGTCATTTTTCTTGAGCGCGATTTTAGAGAATTAATTAGGGAAGAATTGGAATAGCAGTTAATTTATTTTCATTTGGATGAGCTGCTTAAAGAGATTAAATGATTAAGAGGAATGAGTTTTGACCTCATTTGAGGGAAGTAGGAAGAAATTTGAGTGCATTTAACTCTTCAGAAATGTTAATATGACTTTATTTATGAATCAATTGAAGCATTTTAAGAGATTGAGACTTTTTAAGCATTATTCTTAACAAAACATCAGCTTTTCAATTTTTAAACAACTCAAAGATCTACAGAAAAGATGAGACAGTATCGTTAAATGTTCTAAAATTGATTAATTCCTATTAATCTCGCTGGATCACTTTGAACCCTTTTATCCTCAATTTTCAAACAGAAAACCGCGCTACAGCCATTAACCTCAAACATTTTCCAACAAAAATTCATTTTTATTTATTTTACATCTCTTCTCTTATTGTTTTGATGGATTGTTGAATTTGAGGAGTTGAAACAACTTGAATGACTCGAATGAGAGTCTATTTATTTCTCCATTTTTACTTATGAAGCAAATTATATCCATTTTTATTTGTTTCCGGGGCAATTTAATAACTCTGTCGGTTTCATTATATCCTTTAAAAAAATTACTGGGGGCGTTGTGATATTATGAATATTGATCAAGTCCTTCTTCTCATTTCAATTTTCTGGCATATTTTTTCAGTAGATTTATCTTGTGAATCTTTTTCCTTCGTGCTGAATAATTTACATGATTTAATAGTAATATTGAAATTCTTGTAAGGAAATCAATTCAAATTAAATTATGTTCGATTCATTTTACAAATAATTGGCAATGCTTGATGGAACTTGTAATTGGAATTTGTACGATTTGTGTGATTGATTGAGATTTAAGTGATTGATGACTGGATATATGCAACAATTTTGTGAATTATGTGTAAACTTTGACAAAGTTCAATCTTTCCATTCTGGGTAGGAATGGAACTTCAAATCTCACAATTGCAAATCAAATTTTAAAAGTTGTAGGCTTTAAGATATATTGAATTCTTACGAAAGTTCAGTCATAACTTGAAAAATCTCATCTCCACAAGTCAATATCTCCCGAGGAAGTTAAAGAACTTAAAACGGATTTTAACAATTTCTCCTAAAAAGTCTCGTTTTTCCTGTTTTATCATTTCCGTTAACTCATCGCTTGTTGTTGTTCAGCAATGTCCAACAGACATATTTCCTCCTACATCTTTTCGAAAGGTATCATGTTCCTGAAAAAACAAAAAATTTAAAAGAGGCAATGACAGACACATTGGAATGAGAGGAACACAAAAATTTCTTCATTAAGGAACTTCGCTTTCAGCAATAAAACTTAAAATTAAGGAGAAAAGATTCAAAAAATGAGAATTCTTCTCATCTTTTTTGATGTTATGTATTTTGGAATCATAAAATTTTTATGGCTCACTCCTCTTCCTTTCTCTTTCCATCGCACTTCCTCATCGCTCATTTATATAAATTTGCCTTTTTTTGCAAGAATATATGCCATAGGATGTTCACATACTGCTCTCTTCTGCTATTTTTTTGCCATTTTAAAGACAGCAGAGAGGAAAGAACAAATTTTTCGATATGAATAATTAATGTTTAATGTATACGACTCGTATGCACGAGGATGTGAATGTATTTTAGACATAAATTTTTGGTTCATTTTTACGGATCAATTTTTATATTACAGACACTCGAATACTTTTTGTAGTGCATTTTATAATGAATGTGGGAGCTTTTTTTGAAGGTTAGGGATTGTCTACCTCTTTGGCATTGATGTGGACTTTGAGGAATCGGATTGTAAAATTTAATTGAGTATTTTCCCGATTCTAGAAAGTCGCACTCCATCTTACTAGTTTCTAGAACCTCAATGCATTTCAGGCATCCTTATTTCTTTGTTTCCATCGACCGACTGTTGCCTAATGCACTGTAATATCGCAATATGAGTTTAAAAATTTCAAGCTCTATAATTACTGATTGTACTGTACATGCTTCCTTCATATCATTAAATTAAAACAAATAAAAATTCATAACAAAATAAAACCTCATAGTGTGGAACTGACATGAATATATTTATGTATGCATATCTATGCTGTGATTATAGTCAGTTTATGAATTCATTTTTTATTATTCTCTGCTTTTATTTATCACACTGATGACTAAAAATTCTCATAGAACTGGAACTCCCAGAAAAAAAGCTCTCTCTCGTTGAATTCATAATGTTTATGTATGTATGTACAATATGGTTTTGATTTTCATGGCTCAGATTTTTTTTTCTGCCATAGTTGCGTTTTGTTTGCCTTTCCAATAATAAAAATAACTCTTTTTCATTGATTTTCACATTTTTTTTATTTTTATGATTTTTTTTGTGTGTGATATTGAAATTGCCATGTGAATAAAATTGTGACATCAAATGAAAATAAAAGAAAAAAAAGTTAAAATGGGGAGAAAGTTTGATGGGAAGTTTTTTGGGGAAGGAAACGCTCTGGGGTCTGCATGAGTTAGATTTGTTGGTATTTTGTGTCTAATGATTGGATATAATGGAAATAAATGAAGCTAATTCAGAGATATGGAACCAAATTTCTATGATGTAGCATAAGAAGAGAACCTTGCACTCAGAATTGAAGATCTACTGGTTTCTTGGATTTTAGCAGATTTAACTCTAGTAATTCTTAACCTCAAATATTTCAAGATATTAGGCATAAAATCTGACACCTCCCCCTTCAAACTATCCTTGAACCATCCGACAAACAGCCATCCAAAGGCACTACATCCCTTACATAAAAATTCATCACTTTGGTACACAAAAAAAATGCATTTCAAAAGGCTTATATGATGGAAGGCTACTTCACTGCATACATATAGAAAAAAAATTCCGTGCTGAAAAATAATTCGGCAAAAAACAATTTTTTATGGCCGAGTTCAGATGAGTGGCTAAGAGCTATTGCTGAGCTTTTTATCAGTTTTTTCAAATATTTATGTTTCCCATAAAAAAAACTGAAACAAAAATTTTTCTAGATCAGAAAATAAATGGAAAAAAATAGTGCATAAAACTGATTGCAACATGCACATTGACATATCTATATATTTTATATAATATTGAAGATTGATATGTTAAATTCATGCTGAACGGTTTTCTATGACATTACCATGTGCCCAATAATATTATGTGATTGAAATATTTTTTGTGTGCATTTTTTTATCTCTGAATTGAGGTTGGATTTTTTGTTCTGTATGTTTTTCGATAATTAAAAAGCTTTCAGGTTTTGTTTTGTGCCTGTTTCAATTTTCATTGCAGGTTGAGCCTTTTAATTTTCGTGTATTATTTGGGAAAAATTAGAGGTTATGATCCTACATACTAAATACTATTTACATCAGTATCATCGATGTCTGTCATTTTTGACTCAGGAAATCCATCCAAATTATCTTCTTGAGGCTGCATATGAATAAACATTAATCCAATCCAAATAGCACGAATCCCGTACCTTCAGAACTTCTAACAACAATTTATTTATCATGGATGAAAAAGACTTTTGTTTCAATCTAATACAATATTATATAGGAAAGCTATCTGCATGTGATTGCAGTCTATCCGCAAAAGCACATTTTTCACCGCATTCATATCATCAATGTTGTGCCGACAGAAAAAGGTTTTCTCTTCAGGTTTTTTTTTGTATCTATAAAATTAAAATAAAAATACCAAAAAAACACAGAAATTTGTGAATGTGGATGTCACATATCATTTAATAAAATAATCACTTTGCTGTATTTTAATTTTAATTTTATTTTTTTTTGTGAAATTGATTTTTTAAGGATAAAATAATTTTTTTAAAATAATGATATATGCTGAGGTTCCGATTTGTTGAGGGATGTGATTCATTTATGAATATGGATTTAGGCTGAAAACTGTCATGAATTTTAATATTTTTTTTTTTCATTGATTAGCGAGGACAAAATTAGCAAATTAGGGGCTCAAAAGATTTTTTTTTTCAAGTATAAAAGTCAGAAAATGTTTAAAAAATCTTTAAAGTTAAAAACTTTAATAATTTGAGCAGCATTGACTAATATAAAACACTTTTTCAAGTTCCGATACCTCCAAACTGATGTGATAAATTTATTCAGCAACAACTCAAAATTTGCACTTTAAGCACCACTCACCGAATACACAATTATCAAAAAAATATGCAAATTCTCATGCATTATCTGCATGAAATCAATTTTGTATATTAAGCTCCTATTCATTTCATTCATAAAGCCTCAATAATGATGACTGTGTGTAAAATGTATTTAAAAAGTATTTTCTGAAAAATATTTAAGCCAAATTCAATAATTGATTTAATTTTATGATTTTTTTTTCAATTTTCAACTATTTCTGCTTATTTTACGTATTATCATAACTGGATAAATAGAATAGATGCCGTGAAATGCGGATGCAGTGACAAATCAATTGGAAATTTTTTTAGTTTAAAATTTTGTGATTTTTCGATAATTCTGCAAAAATTATGTTGCTGATTTAACTTTTTAGATTAAAATATTCTGAAATTTAAAACTCTATAGAGTTGAGTTCACTGTTGACTTTCAGAGCTTTTAACAATTTTTCAAATTTTTCTTCAATTATTAACCCAATTTTTTCAATCATTTTCTTTTCAATTTCAATAATATTTGAATTATCAATTTTCATATTTAGTTCCTTCAGATTTTCCTCAAGCTTTTTAAATTTTTCTCCAAAAGTTGTCAATTTAAACTCTAATCGGATAAGTTTTTCATTAAATGTGTTATTATCTGTTATAGATTGACTGTTACAAGCAGTAAATAACCTAAATTGTGATGCCTTAATATCTTCAGTTAAAGTTCTTAAATATTTCAAATTTTCAAAGTTTTTGATTTGCAAGTCATCAATAATGCTTTGGTTTTGATACGTTTCTGTCCAATTCTGACTTTCTGAGCAGTTTAAACTTACTGTGGTTGCTGTTGTTGCTGCAATCTTAAGTTTGTCAGTTGGTGTCATTTCATCATTTGTGTGGTCTTTTATTTTCAAGAGTCTTAGATTCAATGGTAAGCAGCTTGCAAATTTTGAAGTTCTAAATTCAGTTTCAAAATTATTTAAATCAACTTTCAAATTTTCAGAATTTTCAAGAATTTTAAGTTTCTTATCAAAATTTAAGAATTCCGAGCTAATGCAATTAAGTTTTATATTTCTTATAATTTGTTCGACACCTGCTCGATTATTTTCTTTGAACTCATTAATGCACGTGTTGCCTCCTAAATGTAATGAAGTTAATTTTGACAGATGATCAAAAACTGTTGATCCTATGTGAAAGATGTTAGCTTTTCCAAAAGACACAGCTATTAAATTTGGATTGTAATCGAAAATATTTTCTTCAATAATCTCAATTTTAGATTCAAAAATGTTGACACATTCCAAACTTTTAAATGGCTTAAAATCAAATTGATGGATTTCTTTTAGAAGATCATACCAAACAGCGATTCCAGTGACATTTTTGAAGAACTTTTCCAATCCACGAGGCAAGTACTGCACAGCTTTAGATCGAATGTGAAAATAAATTTCATCATTATTGTCTTTTCCATTCATGTGAGTTCCTGATATGTCATCAATCTGTGCTTTTTCTGGTGAGTCAATAAAGAGATGATTGTCGACAGAGCAGCGATATTTGTTGCCAACTGCCCATAAACCAAGAATCCCGTAATTGCATTCGATGTGTACTGAATCATAGACATTGAGGAATGTGAGAATGAAGACTGATGAGCTGATTAATTAATTAATTTGGAATCAGGTAAGATTACTTCAAGATGCTCCTTTTATCTACTTACATTATTATTATTTTATACATTTTTAATTGTTAAAAACTTAATTGAAAGAATTTTTAAGAACTTTGAAGTTCAAAATTCACTAAGCGACTCAATTTTTTTGCAATGCTGATAACAAAATCTCTTCTCAAAATAAAAATTGAGCATGTGAAAAAGCATTAGTGATAAAGTCCTATTCTCTCTTTTAAAAACAATCTAAGAGGTCAAAAATGAATTTTTTGAGATGCGCTGATAAAGATGCTGTTAATAATAAGTCACAAGCCACATGTAAAATGAAAAACTCAAACCTTACCTTTACCCAATTCCAGCATCTAATTTGAAAATTCTCAAATGATTTTGCCACTGCAGATCTCGTCAGAGCACAGACAATTATTTTCATGTAAATCCTTGAATAATACACGGGCTTTATATTGTAATGAATATTCAAGCTTGATGATAATGTTGATAAAGAAACTCATTGGAACATGCTCACATAAATATTTTCTATTAGTCAATGTGAATGGAAATGAAAATGTACATAACTTGATGTGTGCTAGCTATCTCATTTAATATTATAAGCCATTGCTATGAATGCTCGGAAAGTTGTGCTGTTGTGGGAGGTTTTATATATAATTTACTTAATTTATCATTATGAATTTTAAGATGAATGATTTAGAGTTTATTTCAAGCTTGTTATTCATTGTTCCTGCTCGATGTCACTCTTGAGTGTACAATTGAGATCACTGAGAACACTTGCTTGTGACTATGTTCTTTATAATTGCAAATTATTCACCTTAACTAGGCTACCATCCTTAATTCCATCATAATTACAGCTAGTTCCTCCTATTTTCCGAAAAAAAAAACTATGTCTAGATGTGGGTGTGCTTCACTTCACATCCATACACCAAAAAAAACATGTTCAGACATAAAAAAGAACTAAAATAAAAGAGCGAGAGTGAAAACCAGGCACAAAGCTAAAAGCTTTCGACATTAAGCATAATGACATCAGCAATGATAAGATAAAATTCTACTTATATGCTGTTTTAATTAGAAAAGCTTTAGTCGCATTTAAGGCATCAGCCCGTGTGCGGTATTTTCTCATTCTCATCTTATGCTTTGTGCTCTACTTACTCTCCTTATTCATTCATTTATTCACTCACTCTTTCATGTTCCCTCGTGCAGATTTAATGAACATTGAAATGTTTATGCAGAATGAACTTAAAACTGATTAAATTCTATTAAAATCTAAAAGCCATGACTACATGCATTCATACTTATGTTCAAGTTTTTTCTCATTTTTCTTGCATTAAGAGCTTGTGCATTTAAAAATAAAGTTTCAAGTGCTTTTATATCACAAAAACTTGCATTTTTTGCTCTCATTTTACCTGCTGACTGGATGATGCTGTGTCAGATCAAAGGCTAATTAACTGGAAAAATGGAAAAAGCTCATTTTAAGGTGATTGACTGAGTGCAGTCAGTTTAATTGATTGAGTTGATTTATAATCGTTTGATGTTTATTGTAATCTGCTGCTTTCCTTTTTGATTATTTTTTTTTGAGATTTGAGATTTTTTTAAAAAAATTTCAAAAATGCGCCAAAATCATTAAAGATCTAAAACTTAATTTCCACATGCTGAATCTCACTTTCCTGAATCCTCTAAAACAAACTTTATTTTCTTAAGCATTATACAGTAAAAAATTAAAAATGCTGAGATATTTTTAAAGGTTTTAATGAAAGCTTAGCTAAATTATGAATTTATAAAGTTTTTCATCTTTGAAGCTTACAAACAAACATATTCAAATAGATTTCGAAAGATAGTGAAATTTGTAGTAAGTAAGTTATGATGCACTTAAGGAAATCCTCTCTATTAATGTTTATGTTAAGTAACAAGCAATTAAGTTTGAACTTTTATTGGGAAAATTTTAAAAACGCATTTTGAAAACTTTTGAATTTTTGTAAATTCTTAAAGATTTGAATTTTAAAAAATCTGTCAAAAACTTATTGCTTTAGCACGGACTAAGCAATAGCTCAACACAATTATCATTCCCAAAAACCTGACACGAGAAATCCGATAAAAACTAAAATGTGGAAGAAGTTTTCGTTAAATTATTCAAATTGAAAAGTTTTTTAAGCTACTTATGAGGAAGGAATTAAGCTGAAAGCTTCACATTCTTACTTTTTAATGTGAAAATTAGGGTTAAGCAAATATCGTTGATGCAAAAGTCTTCATCTTGTGTTATGTAATGTATATAGGAAGCAATAAATTATTAAACAATTTCTAAAATACGAAGAAATTGATGACGATAAGGAAAAGAAATTTTCATCTTGTTTCGAATTTTGAAAGAGCATGAACAGGAAGCCACGATATGTGAATAAATGTATGTATCAGCATTATTATGAGAAGACTGAAGCATGAAATAAAGTTATGAAGAGAAACTTATTGATCTTTAATGGAGGCAACCCACGTAACCATAAGTCGACGGATGGAAGATTTTATGTATTACATCAAAATCTTCCATGTATGTTCCATATGTACATTCCATGTATCGTACATTGAACATTATGCTAATATGAAAAGGGACGATTTTTAGTCGATTTTACGTCGATTTCACGTCGATTATTTTTTTGAACCAAAATCAAATTTTTTTTGACCGTTTCAATATAAAAACCGATTAACGGAAAAATTTTGAATTTTTTTTACATGAAAATATTTTTTGTTAATTATGCTATAATTTGTAGACAAAATCCAAAAACATTAATTAAGGATTTTGTCTTTGAAAAAAAGAGTCGAAGTCTTCATTTAAATGAATGATTCGCATGTAATTAATTTAATTAATTAATCACACTTTGTATGAAAATTTGGCTGTGCCTTATATAAGTGATTTCTGATTGCACTTGTGAAGTATATAGCGGCTCAAGAAAAACGAATGTAATGGATGAAAAATCGACGTCTATTGGATCATCCAAAAAATTGTACATTTAAGTCGATTTTTTCATTGACGGCGATTTTGGTTACGTGGGAAAGTCTTTATTAATTGGAACAATTTCCTCGAGGCAGCTGACATTTTCAAATTTATTAATAAACTCGATGATATTTATCAAATAAGAATTTATAATGTTGTAACAACTTTTGGGAGTCAAAATATTCAGACATGAATTTTATTTCTTTCTTTTTAACTGAGTCATTATTTTTGAGGCTTAAAATTAATTATTCATAATTTTTATTAAGTTGAACTTCTCAGAAATCTTAAATAGAAGCTAGCAGAATATGGTAATTTTAGAATGATGAATTTTGAATAGTTTTACGTAGTTCAAGGTTTTGGCGAAAAAAGGTTTAGCAAATTTTGGAATTATATAAAATCTCTTACAGATTAATTCACTTAATTGGAAAATTTTTGAAACTAATTCCAATGTAAATGATTTTATGCGTTCATATAAAATTCCTCTTAATAGATTTGATGTGTTTTCACTTAATTGGGTAAGTTGCAGCAGCTAGCAATCATCATTTTGAATTTTTCTAGATGAATTACTTTAAATTTTTGAATTGAATTACTACAAAAATCTTCATTTTAATTCAATAATCTTAAAAAAGCTCATAATCGAAGCTTAATAAGTAAACAATTTTTTTTTCAATTATAGCTCAATTTTGAGGCAAATTGAGTAAGTTTAAATGATTAATTTTAAAAGCTTTAAATCCAACAGCAAAAGACATTTAATTAAATTTAAGAAATATTTACGAAAAGCAATTTTTCCAAAATTAGAAACGAATATGAAAAATTCCTAAAGCAACAAAACCTCAACAAACAGTAATAAAAATTCATTACATCCTTAATTTAATAGCATTATGTATAAAAGAAGTACGGAGCAATAATGCACAAGCACTTTCTCTCGAATAACTTTTCACAGTCTCATTCTATGTGTTGTTTAATTTTTATGCAATTTATAAATGCATGTATGAGTAATTAATGTAATTTTTCATTCCTTCGCTTTTTTGCTGGATGTTGTGCATGCAAACATGAGCTTTTAATGCTTGAAAAAATTTTGTTCGATGTCATTCTTGCTTTATATTTATCAGAAATTGAATCAAATTCACCCAGATTTTTCATCATTGTTATGTTATTCTATAAATCCAGCATGTTGAGGATTTGAACGAAATAAACAATATCACAAAAGCTTTCTTTTAAGGATTTACAATAAAAATTTTACGTTTTTAAATCACCACTTACGGGAAGAAGGTAATCAATTGCAGTGCACAAATAAATAAATAAATAGAAAATAAAATAAATACTTAGAGCGTTCTGCAGTACGATTACATATGGATTGTTGTGCTGATTGTGTATTGTATTTGTTTTTGTTCAGGGGATGGTAATCGAGGAGCTTATTTTCATATGAAATTAATAGTGTGTTATATGATTTTGGTTGAGATTCTCGTTAAGCTGAAGTGGCTCGGTGACGGAATGGTTTAGTACCAAGGGTGTGGGTTTTGATTATTTTTGATCATTTCATCAGTACCACACCCTTGTTTAGTCCTTAGGTACTTAATTATTGCAATACTGACACAGCGATCATGGGTTCGAGACTGGGTATGGAAAATTTTTCATTTGTACTTTTTCTAATCATATGTACTGAAAATGAGGCTCACAGTCTTTCTCTGGAGGCTACAGACAGTAATGAAATCAAAGAAGTGGTTCGGATTCCACTATAAATTGTTTATTTTTTTATATGATTTTGGGTAGATTAGCTATATATTGAAAAGACAATAAAGCTTACGTAGGTTGACGAAAAGAGATCTGACCCCCCCCCCCCCTCCCCCCTCCTGCCTATGCACCTGCAATGAACCAATGATTTATTTTATTTCTATTTAATTCCAATAATTTTCCAATAAAACCACATCAGAGTACTACAATCTTGCATTAATTCAACACTATTATCCACTCCTCCGTGAAAATGAGTGCATATATGTTTTCTGGTATGCAATAGAAAACGATAACAACAAACACTCTAGAATGGGAAAAAGAATTTCACATAGTAAGCATAGATGTGTTGTTTGAAGAATGAAATAAATTGCAAATTGCATTTGAAAATAACATTAAACTTTCTCTTT